AACCCACATCAGAGGGCACACAGCTCAGGTCATTCCATGGTAACCCAAAACAGCTCCTGTTTGCAACCATGTCGCTTTGGCCTCTGTGGAGGGTTAGCAGGAGAGGGAAAAAAAAAAAAAAGCTGTCCAGTTTGCATCCCCTAAAAAGCTATATCCAAGGTGGCCCCAGGCCATGCGCGCCCCCTGAAGCGCAGAACTCTGCCCAGGGAAGGGGAGAACCCCGGCCACACGTCGCAGATGCGCTCCAGAGACCCAGAACCATTCAGCCGGTGGGTATTTATGGAGTATTCGGTTATCGAAACTAAGCGAGCAAGTGTCTGTCCTCATTAAAATCTTCAGCCTCACTCAACTGTCACATTTTTAAAGCTGTTGACTGATGCAGCCCTCGGGTCACCATGGCAACAGGATGCAGTACCCAGGCGATGATGCTCTTACTCTGTCACCCCTCGAGTGACCCACTTCTACTCCCCTCAAAAAAGAAAAAGTTTGTATTATGAAAAAAAACACAAAAAAATTTTTCAGGAGAATATTTTTCTTGCCTCTTGCCACTCTTGCTTCCTGCAGTGCCGGAGGTGTAAGGACGCAGCACAGCAAACCGGGGTGGGCAGTAAGGAGGGGGGGGAGGTGCCTCTATTGCCCCAAATACTGGGGAGGGGGAACCCACTGGCACCCCACTGCTCTCCTATACCCTGCAAAGGGGGTGTCCTGCAGCACTGAAGCACCCATAAGTTCCAGTGAAGATCTCTGCTGCCAAATTGGGTGCTGGCCTCTTGGGAAACCACCAGGGGACCACCAATCCCAAGAAGCCTCCATCACAAAAGCCCCTCGGGTCCCACAGTCCCTGGGATGGCGTCAGGTGGGGATGCAGGAGAATGGTCATTTCCCCAAGTCCTTGAGCCCCTGGGAAGTGAGGTGTTTACTCTAGCCACTCCGAAGCAGTGGATGGGAGGGCGAGACAAGCGTGAAGCCAGGTCGGGGGTCCTGGATGCTGGGCTGTGGGGAGTTCTGGGCAGAGTGGGGCAGCCCCAGGTCCCCAGCCACCCCTGCTTGCACCCGAGATCTCTCCCACCACCCCATTGCCACCCCCTGAATGCCGAAACCCTTGCCTGACCCTGGCCTCCTACTGCTGCCCCAGCCCCCTGGTGCATCCTTACCCTTCCCTGGGAATATTTAAAGCAAAAAGGGAGGGAGAAGGAGGAGAGGAAAGCGGCGACAAAGAAGTTCTCATGGGGGATTATTGGTGTATAATTGAGCAATATCCATGGTAACAAGCAAATCTGCACGCGTTAAAAAATTAACCTGACCTACTTTGGGAAATTCTGTCATCTCCACAGGGCAGTGAGGGCTCCTTTTCCTTCGAGACCCAGCCCATCAGTCGTACTGCCAGCGCCAGCAACGCCCCAGTGCTCTAGGGGATGGGATGGCCAGTTTTTGTGCAAGGGGAGATGTCCCCTCCAGTGGGAAACCCACCTGCGAGCAACAGCGGAGATGCTCAGCACAGCTCAGCTCCATCGCCCCACACCTGCCGGGATGGAGCAGGATCCATGGGATGAGAACCAGAGCATTTGCTCAGGTGCTGGGTATGGGGTGCAGGATCCTTGGGGACCCAACAGGATAGTGGCCCTGCTGGGATGAGAGGGACCGAATCACCAGGTCATGGCACGGCAAGGAGACGTGGCAGCTCCTTACAGCAGGTCTCAGTGGGACCCCAGAAAGGCAGCCAGCACAAAAGAAAGGCTAGGGGACCCTGTGAGTGGTACTTTTGGGACCCCACATCACACTTTCCCAAAGGTTTCATGGAGCAAAGCAAGGCACGGGGCCAGGAAGGTGCGAACCAAGGGCCAAAGGCGGCGGGAGCAGCAAGGATGACTTCCAGGAAGGCTGGTGCTGGTTCGCCGGTGTGGGGGCAAAGTCCCCCCAGGGAGTGTCCCAGAGGACAAAGGTCCCTTAGCACTGCTGCCTCCAGCCCAGGGAGAGAGTGAAGCCACACGTTACAGCTGCAAACGCTGCTAGTGCCAAAATTCATGAGCACGGGGAA